AGCATGTTAGTTCAACCCAACTGCAGCATCTGTATAGATCAGGTGCATCACTGGGCCTTTTTGGTACTTTTATTTAAAACTGATTCAATCACTATTAGACAGAAGTACCAAAAAAGCCCCACTAAAGCATCTAATCTGTACAGATGTTGGATGAGCTGGGTTCAACTGATGTGATGCTTTTTCTGAGCATGCAGTGGGCTTGGCACAGAGGGCATGCAGAATTTAAAATGGCATTTGTTTGTTTTGTTTTGGCTTGTTTTTGTCTGTAAGCAGCCCTGGGGAAAACCTACTCATATAAATAGTGAACTTAGGGTGGAAACAGATGCTACCTTTGGAAACCATTTTTTTGGTGGCAAAAACTAAAAACAAATAGATGTCAATTCTCTTTGTTACACCACAAATGCCTTTGTGGGAGCCACAAAAGGTGGTAATAATTTTTGTCTTTTTTTCATAGTTGCCATTTATTTGCTCCCTGGGAATTCCTGCCTAATACTAGGCCTCTCAAGCCCTGGGTGTGCCTACCTGTCTTTCCTTGCTTACAGAGATGCACCCCTAGGAATCTTCAGGATGTGTTTCTGTAAGCAGGAAAATCTGGAGATCTACGCTTAGAGGTGCACCCCAGAGATTCCCAAGGGCATGTCTCTGTAAATGGGGAACACAGTGCTTGGCCTGTATGATCAATGGGCAATGTGTGTTTTGCTCAATGAAGTGAATCATCCGTTCTGGGACATGTCCTTGCACTGCTGATCCTCTTCATTTGGCAATGTCTGTTTATATCCTTAGTGCTCATGAAGGTAAGATGACTGTCTCCAGTGTAGTTCCTGAGGACAGGCAGACCATAAGCAGCTACAATGCAAGCTTTCCTATCATTCCTTCCCAATGTATTTTACAGTTTTCCTGGGTAGGGCTGGTCAGCAGTAGTGATATAGTAGGCTGATGGCTCTTGTGATGTAGTCATGTTTCACTAGAAGTGGACTCATAGGGCTAAACTCACTGGATTGCAGCCACCCTGGGTGACACCTATCTGAGCTGGATTTTAGCAGAGGTTCAAAAATGGAAAAAATCATCATTAGGAATCCATTGAGCCGTTACCTCTCCCAACATCTTTTAATTGTTTAAATAAGAATAGGACTGTTGCTCTAACTTATTGTAGCTTTAACTTCAAAGTTGAAAGGCTTGTGAGGGAGAAATTCAAGCATTTAAGAAATTGTAATTGTCAAATTGTAGTTTTACCTCTCTCTACACAAGATTCTGGTCCCAAATCTTGTGAGAATTGCCTGTTGCTTCTCTTCCCAAAATTCTTTGATTGTAGCAACTAGGGGAACAATTGTATAGTAAATAATCTCTCCCTGCAGTGCTTAAGCCAAAAAGATAGCCAAGTCAGTTAAGGAAAATATTGTCTGTTTATAAAAATGGTCATTTTGAATGTGCTCCTTCACTTGTAGAATTGCTTTGTTGCAGAAGTTTTCGTAACCCACAACATAGTAAATTAGCACAAGTCCTGCTCAAAATATATATATTTCTCATTCCTTCATAGATTTCCTACGGGAGGACACACCAGTGGGTGCAAGTTTCTTGCGTGCTGCAGCTCATGATAATGATCAAGGTGTGAACGCTGCTATCACATACTCAATGTTACACCAACAGCCTGAATACTTCCAGATAAACCCCAGCACAGGCTGGGTATATGTGAACCATTTAATCTCCCAGGTAATGTTTATGTCTTCATCTGGAACCCAGAGTGACATTTTACATCTGGATCAAGTCACAGAGAGCCTGTTGATTTATGCAAATCAGTGTTTAGATTTCCTTACGCGCTAATTACAGATTTTTATTGTAGACCTCTCGAATTGTCCGGTACATTGTAGCAACAGATGGAGGCAACAGAAGCAGCACAGTGGAGTTGACTGTAACTATCATGAATTTACTCAGCCAGCCACCCCATTGGGAGCAAAGCAGATACTGGGTAACAGTCCCAGAGAGCACCACTCGGGACACCAAGATAGTGGTATGCTATGAAAAAACCTCTCATGACTACCTCTCCTCTCCCTCTCTCTACAAAAGAGAGATACACACTCACAGCCTTGTTACACATGAATTTCAGGTGGCTTCTAGAGCTCTTAACCCCTGAATTTTCCATACGTTAACACCTGAAACTATTTTAAGCAAACTTTAGGCAGCTTAACTCTTGGTGTGGTGTAACTTTGTCTCTGATCCATGTTACCCAGTTTGTGTTCCATTAACGTGTGACCAGTCTGCAGGGATGAACTGCCCAAGTTGCAGTCCTCCAGCATGCCAAGATGCAGCGCCCCCTTCCCCATCCTCCTGCTCTGTCTGGACAAATTTTCCATCCCCTGAACTCTAGTGCCCAGGGGGGCAGTTCTGGCATGAAGCCAACTCCTCTTCCCACCCCCAGGGGTACAACCCTATGCAAACAGCCTGCACACAACATGCCTCTAGCCAGGTCACGGGGTACAGACAGGTCCAGCAGTGGGGTCTAAGGAGGGCGGGGAGAGAACAAGGTAGGGAGCTGGATTGGGTCCCCATGAGCTGGGGCTTCCTTCCCAG